CGGCAGTGACATCATGGGCTCCTGCCCAGCCGGCTCGCGCCCACGTTTTAGGGTACAGGAACAAACACGGATGTGAAATCAAGAATGAAAGAGGGAGTAATCTAATTAATAGGCCATGAGCCAGGCTAACAAAATCAAAGAATCTGATTACACCAGGATCCCTCTTGCTATCTCCGCCGCTCCCCCCGCTCGTCCAGACCCTCGTTATTTCCTTCCCTTCCCTGGAAAGTTCAGAAGGTAAAGGCAGAGCCCTCTTATTTCCTTATTGAAATCAAGATCTAGCCCACCCTGGGGCTCCCCCAGCCAGGAGGTCACGTGGATGACCTTGGGGGGGCGGGCCCCAGGCAGACAAATGACCAAACCACCACAGAGGAGCTGAGAGCCAGGGGGTGCTCCCTCCCTTCTCAGGCTCCCCCTTAAGATAGCACCACCTGTACCCCTTACCTATCCCATCAGCAGCAGGGCTAAGGGACAGAGAGGGCTCACAGCCATTTCAAGAGGATCTTTTTTAAGCCAAGCACCACTCTGCCCTACTTCACTTTGCACAGGGTCACCGACCACCCCAGACTCTCCAGCCTCCTAACTCCCTCCCTTAGTAGAGAGTTCTGAACCCAGACAGATTATTAGGTTTTATCACTGAAACCGCATTGCTCTAATCGACACAGCCAGCCACGGGCCTGAAAAAAGAGAATACTTTAATTTCTATCTTTCTGCCTTAAAAAAAAAAAAAGAAAGAAAACCAGGTCCATCTCCTAAATAACTAATTCCAAGTCTGCAACTAGTGCCAATACTTGTTGCATCCATTTTAGAGTTGATTAATTACCCTGGAACTTGGGCAAACTAAACTCCGTGTGGAGAGAATGTTTCTCCCTTCAATTTAGTTCTGAGAGCTACAAGTTATTGATGGACCTTACTCTATTTACATACAAATTGGTGCAAATATGCCCGTCTCTTCAAATGCATTTTATATAGATATATAAAAGTGTCAATTTTGATTTAGCTTAAAGACGTTGATCATTTATTACAAAAATAAACGAATAAATACAACAATATATTGTTGCTTCCAACAGGATAAATACTTTACAAATATATAATTTAAAAAAACAAATTTAATTGTTAAAATATTACACTTATTGATAAAACTATCCATAGTATATACTGTATTGAATATTAGAACCAATTATTCTCTGAATGTTGGAAACCATTCATACAAAACAGGTTATGAGCATGGTAATGAAGACACAGTGGACGCTGCATGGAAGCAGGGGGAGTCTCTTCTAAGAGCCGCAGTGGACAGTTCTAATTTGCAACAAAGAAGTCCCTGGCTAAGTACTGAAGAAAAACCAAAACAAAAGAGAGCAACAGCAACAAAGTGATTGTGTAAAACACACTGTTTAAAGGGCTTATTGCAGGGACTTGCCAGGGCACAGGGTTGGGTAAAGAAGGGGACAGAGGCTTGGGCAAGTGACCCAGAGTCACAGGAGACTGTAAACTGTAAATAGGCCTAGTTTGGGATTAGCCAGACGGGTGGAACAGAACTTGGTCACTGTCCTTTGGGTTGGGAAGGGGCAGGAGGAGGGACTGACCAGGAGGAAACAAATGAGCACTTTACGAAGCACAAGACACTTGTGCTGCAAAGCAACACAATGACCAAATTCATTAAAAAGATCTGGTGATATATAACAATATTTTCATTATTTACATGTGTAACAATATAAGCCTTAGCACAAAACCTCTCAGTTCTATCTCCTCTCTTTTGTGTTTCAACCATGAATTTCATCTTGTAAATACATTAAAAGGGTTGAATTTTTTTAATAGAGTTGAAGCACTAGCCCACTTTATGAAATACAGAATTACAAAAACAAGATGGGCTTGGTGGCCCAGCTTCTCCACTGAAGATCACTCAGCTACCCCCAAATCAGCGCTTCTTCCAAAGTAATCAGTACAGGTTGCTTTTTAATAGAAAACAGTGTGAAATCTAATGTTAGCTCTTTTGTCTTCAGCTAAATCAAGTAAGTAAATACCTCCTAAAATTTTAAACAGATCTATTCCTTGTCTAATCAAGCACCAACATTTTGGCAGAACAGAAAAAAAAAAAACAGGATTCCAACTCACATGCCAACAGTGTACACCACATTGGAGCAACCTGCCCAAGTCTCAGCTTGCCAGGAGAAGCTTCTTTGCCTTCCTCCCCAAGACCCTTCAAAAATCCCCAACAACTTCACCCCACCCACTCCAGGTTGTAAATTCCCCGGGGCTGGGCTGGGCTGGGCATTACTATAGCAAGAGAGATGGGAACCAAGAAGGCAGAGAAAAAGTAAATTGTGGTTTCTTGTCTTTAGTGCTCTTTTTTTCTCTGTTTAATAATTGTGGCCTTTTTCAGATTTCACAAATCAAAATGATTGTGATTTTTAGTGCAATTTGGTGTTTAAAATAATGCAACTCCATCCACGGCCATCTGGCTAGGCTTGATTTATGGAAGTGACACAGGGCCTGTCTGGAGAAATGACTGCTCCTGGTTGCTCTCTTGGTTTTCCAGGATTTTTAAAACTCTACATTAATATCACAGGCAGAGGAAGCGAAGGGGAGAGAGGGAGGCAAAAAATGAGTGACAGCTAAATAAGAATAGGGGAAATGCATCTGTGAAATCATGACTTAAAGAAAAGCACAATATATAAGGATTCAGCAAAACGATTCTTGCATTAGCACTCCCAACCAGAGGCATTCCACTTTCATTTTCCCACACTGTAAATATTGATACATTAACTTGATCAATGTGACTACTCTGCAGGGTTTATCTAAAAAGTGACCTAAAAAAAGCTAAACCTCCCTGGACCAGTAAAGAAGATAAAGAATCACACTGGGGAAAGACTGAATCACAGAAACGTATAGCCTGCTCTCGATCTGGTAATGGCAAAGATGGAATACAGTATGGACCAACGAGAGGAGTTTTGAACTATCTTATCTCATTATACAAAAAACAAAAAACAACAAAAAAGCTAAATAATTTAAATTTAATTACATATAGTTATAATGGGAGGTAATTGATAATTAAATATTTTATAGACTTATAAGCTATTCTTCACAACTCTTAGTCTTCAGAAAAAAGAGCAAAGACAGGAAAAATTTGGGAGCAATGCAAAGGTAAAGAGGCTGAAGTTGGGGGAGCTGCATTGGCCACTCATTAATCACCAGTGTGGCACACTTTTACTGGTGATATAGTTCAATCATTCCATAAAGAACACAGGTATCTTCAAGAAAAGGATTGGTATTTATAGACAATCTCACCTAAAAACACTAAAGACATCCACTAAAATTAAGGGAGAGAAAAATATGGTGAAATGCATGGCTTAATAAGGAGTGAACATTGTGTTAAAATACCAGCTGTCCCAGGAAAGCCTGCACCTCACTCTGGTCGCCAGCTGCACCTCATGAGGTGCGGGCTGTGCTTCCTTAGCACTATAAGCTATCAGAGATCTGCATTAGTAAAAAAATATTTCTTCGGAGAACTCTTTTCTTCCCACACAGTGTGTATGCATCAGACACAGACTACTTCCTTCTAACAAATTTATTTTCTCGATCAGCTCTTACGGAATCACTACTCAAATTAAATTACAATCAAATGATCACATCAAAAGATACCCTTATTACCTAACAACTGTCCATATTTTCATTTCATTTTGATTTGTGCTCGTCTGAAAAAAACACGTAATACAAGATCTGGGGAAAAATAAATTACCGTTTTGCAGCAGTTCATAAGTATTCTGAATAAAATATTAAAAGAAGTCATTTAATGAAAATATAAAGCAAATATTTTTAGATCAACAACGGATCTAACGATTCTATATTGCCGTCTTTTGGAAAGTCTGTTTATTAAAACCTACCAAAAACACTGCTTGGAAATGGCAGTATTATATAATCACATCCACAGCACCCATCAGTCAAGGTTGGCAACGAATTGAGGACAGAAGTCAAGGGAAGTGCAGCGGCTGGTGCTCAGTCTCTCTAAATCCCTTTATGGAGTCAGTCCGGAAATAAAAAATAAAAAATATTATTAAAAAAAATATTAGCGGTGGCATTTTTAGGCACGGTCCGCCCCGCACACAGAGGGCAAAGCCGGGTCGGTGGCAGGGCCTGGCTCTGTGGCCTGGGCCCAGTGTTGTCTCCGCGCTGGGAGTCCCCCTGTCCCAGCCCATCTTTTGCTCCTTTTTTCCGAGATGCTTTTACTCCCAGGGTTACTTTGAGGATAATTTCTTTTGGCTTTGCTGTTCAATCTGTTAATTGCAGAAGCTGTAATTTTTTTTTTTCCTGGAGACTGTTTTTTGTTCCCCTCTTCCTTCCCATTTATAGTTGATTTGTTTGTTCCCATATGACTTTAATATGGCCAAACAGGGTCCTGCAGCCCAGAGTCAGACCCCCAGGGAACCTGGTGCTGTCGCTCTCTTTCAGGTGGCTCCCGGGAAAGCGGGAAAGCTCGCTTGGTGGATCTCTGAGGCAGCCCTTTTGGAGGAGGTGGAAGAAAGGGGGACTCTCTCTCTTTTTTTAAGAGGCAAGGAGGAAGGGGCAGGTGCTGTCCACTGCTGCCTTGTAAGACATCTCGGGGCGCAGAACACCTCACTAGTGCAGTTTTGGTGTGTGAGGCATCTTCAACCTTCTTGAAAATAAAAAAACAAAACACCACCACAGTATAAACAAGATCTCATGGTTGTCCCTCTTTTCCTCTTCCGGTTTTGTTTGTATATATGTATATAAAACAGTCTGGGTTTGTATTATGCTTTTTAAATTTTTGGTCCCTCCTTCCTTGGACTTGCAAAAAAAAAAAAAAGTCTCCTTGGTCCGAGTGTTCCTCGATTTTTCCTCCAAGGGCGGGTACACCTGTCTCTGGGCAGAGGGGAGGGCGGCGGCGCGCTGGGGC